ACACACACACACACACACACACACACACACACACACACACACACACATACACATACAAAGACTAAGGAAGGAAAGCTAAGGAAAATGACATTTTGGAACAATAATGAGTACAGATCATCACAAATCAAGACTTATGCTTAATTAATTTTGTGTTTGTAGTCCAAATGAAGACAAAGGAAAAAAAATACAAAAATGTCATGAGGTAAGCACCTACTCCAAGAAGTATTTTAAAAAAAAAAGCCAAACAGAAACATTTGAAGAAAATAGATAACATGAGTAATTTAAGCTGCAATAAAAGGGCCTTGAAAAGGCGCTTCCCTGAAGGGTGAGTGGATCTGGGGTATGAACCATGGAGAACACGAGAGGACGTGCTAACAATCTCCACTCAGAACAAAGGACAGCTATCTCTAAAGGCCCGGTAAGTATTTTAAAATAAGCTCAGGATCAAGGGCACTGGCTGCTTTTACAGTGGACCCAGATTTCGTTTCCAGCACCCAAAAGGTGGCTCATACCTGCTGTAACTCCAGGTCCAGCGGATCCACTACCCTCTACTGGTCTCTTTGGATATGCATACATTAGGTACACAAACATACATGTAAACAAAATGCTCATATATATATATATATATATATATATATAAAAGAAATAAGATATCAAAAAAGTAAGTAAGAATAATAAATACAATTTTAAAATGTATGTTAAAAGCTTATAGTTCTAAGTAAATAATTTTAGTTGAATTAGATAAATTTCTATCAAAATACAACTCATTAAGTATGGCAAAAATCTAAATAGTCCTATATATATTTTAAAAATTGGGGCTGGAGAGATGGCTCAGTGGTTAAGAACACTGTCTGCTCTTTCAAAGGACTCAGGTTAAATTCCCAGCATCCACCTGACAGCTCAAAACTGTAACACCAGTTCCAAGGGATGTGACACCTTCACACTAATGCACATAAAATAAAATTATTTAAAAAATAAAAAATTAAACTGCAAATTTTAATAAATTCTGGGGCTTTTTGTTTGAGACAGGAATGTAGCTAAGCTCGTCTTGAACTCACTACATACACTGAAGATAAACCCAAACTCCCGATCCTTCTGTCTTTACCTCCCAAGTGCTGGGATTACAGGTGGGTGCCATCATGCTAATTTTTATATTTGCTAATTTTAATATCTTCCCTGAAGAGAAATACATACTAAATTAACTCAATGGAAAATTACCTCAAATGGTATAAAAAGAAAGTGTTGTTATGTTTCTAAATATATATACATATATTTTTTTATTATCTATTTGAGTGTGTGTATGCCACATATGTGTAGGTGAAGGCGGAGACCAGAAGAGGACACTGGATCTCCTGGAGCTCAAGTAACAAGGGGCTGTGACACTTAACATGGGCGCTAAGGACTGTACTCCAGTCTGCTGGCTGAGCAAATGCTCTTAATAGCTGAGCCATCTTGCTAGCCCTACTCTAATCTTATAATCACTGAGAAATAGAAGAACCCCTAAATAATTTTATAAATCCAAGCCCAAACAAGGAGATTATAAAGGAAAAACTGTAAGGAAATGTTACTTAGGAGTGTAGATGTAAGCCATAATAAAACATTAGCAAACTGAAAAAGATGATACATGATAAAAAGAGATATAAAACATAATTACCACATTGGATTTAAATTAAGGGTACGATGTTGATTTAACATTGATAAATTTTATTGATACAACCAATATAAATTGATATGTCTACAGATTTAAGGAGAAATAAGCATGCATTTTTATATAAATTTTTAGCAAACCAGGCAAACATGGAAGCTTCCCTAACCTTATAAAAGATGTTAACAACACAGCAAACTAAAACAAGTACCACAATTAACAAGCTTTTGTTTGTTTGTTTGTTTGTTTGTTTGTTTTTGAGACAGGGTCACTCTTGTAGTTTTGGCTAGCCTGGAACTCATTATGTAGACCATGCTGGCCTCTACCCACTGAGTGCTGGGATTAAAGGCTTGTGCCACCATGCCTATCACAATCAATAGTTAAGCTCCAAGGTTGGCAAGAAGGCTTACTGGGTAAAAGTGCTTGCTGTGCAAGCCTGACATGCTGAGTTCCATCTCCAGAACTCACAAGGACAGACCAAACTCTCAAAAGTTTTCCTATGACATCCATCCAACCCACCCCAGCACATGCATATCCAAAAACACACGTGTGTGCACATGCACAATGAATAAATAATTTAACCCTGAAAGAGTTTCCTGGGCTAGAAATGCAAAGATACTTAGTGAGATAAAACAAACAAAAGGGCTGTCTCACCTGGCCTGGTTTTACACACTTGTAAACCCAGAATTTGATAGGCTAAAGCAAGAGGAATGTGGGTTCCAGGCCAGGCTGGTCTATATGGCTCTTCACAGGACCTGAGTTTGGTTCCCAGCACCCACACAGGGTGGGTGCTACAGCTACAGGAGATCTGATAACTCTTATGGCCTCAAGGGGTACCTGCATGCAGCACACACACCACCCACCCACCCACACACACACATTTAAAATAAACTCTATGGATATGTTGGGAGCACAGCATGAAGTCTTTGTGCCCACAGATCTCCACTGAAACCAGGGATATTAAGCATGCAGGATTGTCTTTCTAAGGAAAAAGATGTTAAACCTGTTCCTTCATTCTGAAAGCTGGGAATTGATAGTGATTAATAGCTTGGTGGTTTGCAAGGTACTAAACCAGGACAGGAAATAGCTAGTAATCTAAATGATCCTTACAGCCAGGACCCCCATGCTCCCACAACCAGGATCAGAAGTAGCTAATAGCCCAGACAACAACAAAATCAAACTTCAAATATAACAAACTTACGAGTAGCAAAGATATCATTCTTGTAAAAGTAATAAGAACAAATGATGAAATCTTATAACATCAGAAATCTAAGCTGTACCTCCATGTTTTCTTGACAGTGTGAAATTTGCAATTTAAAGGTTGAGAAAAACATATACTTTGATTGGGAAAATACTTACATTCTCGAAAATGACTTAATTTGGTCATTACTTCTTCCTTGAACAGCTGAATGACCTGTTCAACAATCTCCCGGTTTCGGCTCTGGCTCAGGGCACCTATGTAGTTCTCTAGAAGAGGAACATTTTTCAGATTCCAGATGAAGTTCTCTCGATGAAGAAGATTTAACTTTGGGTGATGGAATTCCTAAGTGAAAAGCAAGAAACTGGATAGGATGTAGCTTAGGCAGTACAGTGCTTGCTTAGAATGCACAGTGCCCTACCATTTGATCCCTGTGATAAAACTAAGCATGGCAACATATGTCTATAATCCCCAGCATTTGACAGGTGGATACTGGCAAATTAGAAATTCAAAGTCATCCTTGGCTCCATAGTGAGTCTGGACTTGCATAAAAAAAAAAAAAAGTAAAAATAGATATTAAAGGAAGAAATAGCCTCTTGACATTTGGGCGGGCACTACAAGGCATCTGATACCCTCTTATGGCCTCCATAAATGCCATGTTTTTAGTGTGCTTGTTTTGTGGTGCTGGATATTGAACATAGGGTCTTCCACATGCTAGACAAGCACTCTGTCCCTGAGCTATGTCCTCAATCCAAAAGTTTCTTTGAATATTCAAAAAACTGGATTTTGTAGCTGATCATTCTGACTTTTCTAGCCCTTATTTCCTTTGGCTCCTTACAACCCAATCTGAATTGCTGGCATTTTAACCAGTGCTGTTTGCTAATTCATGTCAGCCTATCTCCCAATTAGTATCCTCACTCTTTCTCTCACCATTTCCTCTAGTACAGAGCTAGGTCACAGTTATATTCACAGAAAGCCCTATGCTTTCTTCTTCTCCATACTTGAATCTCCTGAGCCAGACCTCCAACCTATCTGTCAGTCAAACTGCAACCAAATTCCAGACTGTCTTTGATGCCGGGGCTCCTTTCTCCTCTGGAACCCCCTGGCCTGGAAGCTGCTGGAATTTTCAGTGGACCAACTATATCCTTGGCAGATTATTCACAGCCTGTACCACAGGGACTGAACTGAAACAGCATTCCTTTGCAGTATCATAGACACTGCAGCTTTTACTACAGTTAAGAAGGTTAAGGGACTCGGCCTGCCATGCACAATGGAAAGTCAGTGAGGACTAAGCAGTGTGAATAAAGTAGGCCAGAAGGCACTGGAATACCAAGTGGAGAGTGGATCTCTGTCCCCAGATCCCCCATTCCCCACACGCCAACTTAGGAAAGGCTGCACAGCACAGCAGCAGTGACCAACTGGACAGAACACCCATCATGTGCAGATGTCTCCTCTAAAACTGCATTTGCCATCTCTAGCAAAGAAAAAAAGAGCTGAGGCTTCAGGAGGGTGAGGCATGGAGTGAAGCCCACAGGAGAAGGGTGTGAATGAACCCACAGACAGGCTGGAAGGAGATATCAGTCAGTGATAAAGGAGTTGACGAAGGCCCTGTCAAAATCCCAATAGCATTCTTTGCAAAATTATGGGGGGAAACCACCTTAAGACCTGCATAAAACCATGAAAGATAGGGAGGGGGCTACAGCTGGGATACAAAATAAATAACCTGTGATTAATAAAAAAAAATAAAAATTAAAAAAAAAGAAAGAACCATCTCTGAAAATATGATTATGAATAGCGCTGTTTTCATTAGAGGTACAAATATTGACTTAAGTTTAAAGGATAAAATTATCTTGCTTAGAAAAAAAAAAAAAAAACAACAACATGAAAGACTCCAAATACTCAGAGGGATTCTGAGGAGAACAGCAAAGTGGGAGGACTTTAATCAGATTTAAGATTATAGTACAACCAAAACAATATGAGTGCTGAGGATATACATCAGTGGTAGCTCATGTACTTAGCATGAAGGTTGCTCTGGGTTCAATGCCCAGCATGAGAAAACAAACAAAAGTAAAAAATAACATTTTACTAGTATAAAAGCAGGCAAAAGAACTAGTGGATTTTAACATTTAAAACCAGAACTACTATGTGACCCTTAAGTTGAGCCTTTTGGGGGCACATACCTAAGGGAAATGAAATATGTTAATTGTAATTGGTTACAATAGACAGGATAAAAAAAAAAAAGAGGGGTGTGTGGAAGCCAAAGGTTATACTGTAGCAAATATTTAGTAAAAAGCAAAATATTTACAGCCTCTGAAAAGAAGTGAGAGTAGCAAAGTAGTCAATATTTAAGACTAACAAGTTGATCATGTACCAACATGAATACCAAGGCTGCTAAGTGTCCTCAGTCAGCATTTTTTGCTGAGTGCATACATGGGAGACAGGAGATAAAATACATGAGTTAACTGAGTGTCACCGGAAGAGCGAATGAGGCGATGTTCCACCACAGCAGCTGTTTTGCCATATGTGTACCTTGTAACATGCTGTATACCTTAATATGTCACGTACATTAATTTTTTAATGGTAAAGGAGAAAGATATGAGAGAAGCTTATTTAAAAAAGCATATTTGGAAGATATTTTGAGGATATTATAGAGACAATATAGATATAATACAGAGCAGTGTAATCACTAAAAGGGTTTTTTTGAATAAAATTAACATATAAAAAACCTAAAAATATACTTAAGCCAGGTATAATGGCCTACACATGTAATCCCAGAACTCAGGAGGCAGAGACAGGAGAATTGCCACAAGTTTAAGGTCAACCCAGTCTAGACAGAGAATTCCGGGTTAGTCAGGCCTATATAGCAAGACCCTATATAGTAGGGGCTGGACTGTGACAAGAGCACTTGCTGCTGCTGCAGAAGACTGAGATTCTGTTCCCAACATTCACATGCGTTCACAACCATCCATAACTCTAGCTCTAGGGGTTCTACCACCTTCTTCTGGCCTCCTTGGATACCTGCCACATGCAATACACTTACACAGATGCAGGCAGAACACTCATACAAATAAACAAATCAATCTTTTCCAGAAATACCCTGTCAAATGAAAAAAACTACTCAAACTAAAAGCACACTGATATTCTAGGTGGAGTGTGTGTGTGTGTGTACATGCTCATGTAGGCCAGGGGTCAACACGGGGCACCTTCCTCAGTTGCTCTTCATTTTATTTTACTTTCTCTTTCATAGTATTTACATGTGGTTGTGTGCGCACGCGTGTATGTACATGTGTGCTATGGCATTAGTGTGGTGGTCAGAGGAGAACTTCTGGGAGCCAGTTCTTTGCTTCCACCGTGTGGGCCTTCAGCTTGGTGGTGAGAGTCTCACTGCTTGGACACCTTGCCAGCCCCTCCATTTTTGGGATGAGGTCTCAAACTGGAGCTTGCCAGTTTGGCTAGACTGGTTGGCTAGGAAGCCCCAGGGAGCTTCCGTCTCTGCCTCCCCAAGGCTGGGAGATATTTTGCCATTCTTTTATGTAGGTATTGGCGCCTGAATTAGTATCTTTGTGTCTGTGTCAAAAATCTTTGCAGCCCCATAAATGAACATTTTAATAAACATCTACAAATGAATCTGCTCAAACTTAATCAAAAGTGTTCTGATTGATGCTTAATATGCTTACCACCCAAAGCTACATGAAGTTCAATTTTTGTTGAATAAGTGAACATAGTGCAGTATGGAAAAGGATTATAAACATTTATTGAACATTATTCCAGAAGATGAGATTACTGGTAACTTCTGGTTTTTCTTTGTATTTTTATTAGTTTTTTTTTTTTTTTTTTAAATAATGAGTCACAAAAGGGTTTTTGTTTAATCAGAAAAGAAATAGGTTATTTGTACTTGGGGATAGTAGGGTAAATTAATACTGTTTAGATGGTCACATGGCCTTGATGTTCTGGCCAAGACAAGTGACAGACCTGGTGTGCCCAGTTATAAAAGATAAACCACTGAAAACAATTTAAGTCACTGATATTAAGTAACAAAGACAGACAAGTAAATGAGTTTGTCCCCACCTTGACTGAGGACTCAGCAGAGAGGGAAGACCCAGGAAGAGCCCCTGAGCTCAATGAGTTGAAGAGATAGAGCTGAGAGTCCCAGAAGACCAAGGCGGCTAGAGTTTGCTGGACAGTCTCCCAAAGGTCAGAGCTGCAGAGAGAGCAGCAAGTCCTCCTTGAGAATTTGATGGGTTGGCACATGACTCAGGTGTTAAGTCTGAGGAAAGGACCACCTGAAAAGGATTAGATTAGGCACACATGCAAAGCTGGGAAGTGTCTGTGGCTACTGACCACCTTGGGAAACATCAATTTGTAGGATATTGGGTGGAGAACTCAGAAGGGTTTTGAGTTACATAATTTTTAGAGCAAACCTAGCCCTGGCTCTACCTATAGGAAGTTAAGAGCGAGACCCAAAAGAGTCACATGGCTTCCAATCAATATACCTGCATCTACTCAAGGAAGTTCAGTGAATATGAAGCACAAGAGACAGGCAGGAGTTGGACATGTTCACCCACACCCCAGTGGGGGTGGGGAAAGTGGCCTGCATATATCAACTAAATGGCAAAGACTCTCGGTTTCTTTGTTTCTTTGAGTCCGTGTGGCAGCACATAGCCAAAGCTGGGCTTAAATCTTTTATCAATTCTCCTTTCTGCCTTCACCTCCTAAGTGCTGGGACTACAAGCATACGCCACCAAGCCTCATAAACACTGTCAGGTTGCATTCAAAACAAACAAACAAACAAACAAACAAAAACAAAACAAAACAAACAAAAAACAAAAAAAAACAAGACCCTAAAAATTCTTCCTGGGCTGGAGAGATGGCTCAGTGGTTAAGAGCATTGTCTGTTCTTCTGGGGTCCTGAGTTCAATTCCCAGCAAACACACAGTAGCTCACCACCATCTATACTGGGATATGATGCCCTTTTCTGGCATGCAGATAGAGTACTCATATATGTAAAATAAATAAATGAGTCTTTTTCAGGCCTGGCAGAGCATTCTCATGATCCCAGCACTCTAGGAGGCAGAGGCAGGTGGATTTCTGCCAGCCTGGTCTACAAAGAAAATCGAGGACAGCCAAGGTTACATAGAGAAACCGTCTCAAAAACCCAAATAATAATAATAATGCTAATAATATTCTTCCTATAAAAACATTTCAAGCATAAAGACTACCACATAAAGCAGTATTCTGTTTTACTTTTACTAATTTCTGTCAGACTACAAATGTTTCTGAGATTGAAAGAATTAACTTCATCTCTTTCATCTCTTCTTATTTAATTGCTTCTTGCTTTAGAATGAGACTGTATCCCAGTAAGTAGGTTTTGCATGCCCACACTTTTGTTCAATCCTTCCCTAGTCACAAGCTTAACACTAAAACAATCACTAAAATGTAGTTGCATTATCTTCTAAACCTCCTGAAACTTTAAAATTTGTGTGTTTGTTTGTTTATTTTGAGACAGAATCTAGCTACATAGTCCCCACCTAGAACTCACCCTGTAGACCAGACTGGCTTTGAACTTGTGGTGATCCTTTTGCTGCCTCCCAGTGCTGGGATTGAAGGTCTGCACCACCACATCCAGCTTAAACCTTTCCCTGACCTTTCCCTTAATCAGTTTTTACTAATTATTTATTATCTTACTACTGAATTAACTTCCTAGATGTTTCCCACCTTTCTGGACCTCAGATTGCTATAATTAGTAGGTTTTGTACATTAAGAAAAACCTCCCAGACTGCCTCCCAGTCTGTAATCCCAGAACTCGGGAGGCGGAGGCAGAAGTATCACTGTGAGTTCGAGGCCAGCCTGGCCTACAGAGCGAGTCCAGGACAGCCAAGGCTACAGAGAGAAAGCCTGTCTCGAAAAGAAAATGAAAAAAGAAAAATCTCCCAAGGATCACTACTGCCTGTAAGATACAGTTTAAACTCCTTACTTTTGAGGGGTAGGAAGAAGGGTCTTACAATATGGTCTAGGCTGGCACAAACTGATGAGACTCCTGTATCAGCCTCCCAAGTGTTAGAAACAAACCAAGCCCTTACTGTGATAGAATGTGTATCTTATAATCTGACTCCATCTTATACTTTCAATTCTATCTCTTGTCTGCCTTATGTATTGCAGCCACAATGAATCATCCAGAGGTTCCAGAACATTCTCATTCACTGTATTTAATGTGCTCTTTCCTTCCCCTGGAATGTCCTTTCTCTTTTTCTTTCTGACCAACGCAGTCCTGAGTTTAGAATCCACTTGGTGCTACTTTTTAAAAATTAGGTCTTCCAATGTGTCAGATGTACAGTGCTCTGCATCAAGGATAAAAGGTGAATAAATCCTTTGGTGTGTAGTTGGTGGAGAGCTTCACTATCCTGCACAAAGATCAATCCCCAGTACCATATAAACCAGACACATGCCCATAGTTTCAGTACCCGGGAGGTTAGAGGCAGGAGGATCAGACATTCAAGGTAGTCTTTGGCCACACAGTGAGTCTGAAGCCCACCCTGCACTGCATGAGACCTTGTCTAAAAAGAAAATGAATAAACAAAGCATAATGTTATTAAGCATCTCATTCCAGCCAGGCGTGGAAACGCACCCCTTTAACCCCAGAACTTTCAAGGCAGAGGCAGGAGGATATCTTTGAAGTCAATATTAGTCTGGTATACACAGTGAATTCCAGGCCAGCAAGGGCTACCTAGTGAGACTTTGTCTCAAAACAAATAAAAACAAAAACAACAACAACAAAAAAGATAAATCAACAAAAATCCCTTACAAAGAAAATAAGACCCAATATCTTACCTCCAGTGTTTTATCCAATTGGGCGGCCAGCCTTCCTATTTCATATAATTGCTGGTGGCTGATGGCAATATCAGCAATTGGTCTTCCTGGGAGGTAACTGAGCATTCTCACCAAGTAGCTTTTGATTTCAGATCCACTGTCTAGATTGAAGGAATGACACAGCCTGTCAGTAATTCTTGGAAAAACTAGAAAGCTTAAAACAAAACAAAACAAAACAAACAAACAAACAAACAAAAAAAAAAGAATTACTACTGAAAGGAAAAGGAGTTTCAGGATAAAAGGGAAAATGTACCAAGCTAAAACTACTTTGCAATGTTCTGTAAAGCAGGACTGTGGGGGTCAAAGGAAACAGAAAGATAAACATTTATACACTTCAAACAGCGTCAACCCTGTAAACCTTAGCTCCAAGGAGACAGTTACTTTCTAGGTAAATGAATGCCGAAAACCTACATTTTTATATCCAGTTGCAATGAGAAACACAAGGCATAAAAGGGGGACTGTTCCAGAAATCACAGCCTTCTTTGGGGCAAACTGAAGTGCATCTTGAATCTGTAATACAGCTCTGCCATCTATTCCTCGGGGACTGGAGTGGGCCTTAGTTGTTTGGAGCAACACAAATTAAGAAATCATAGATGAACCAAAGAAGAGAAGATGGTAGGGACCTCACATTAAAAAAAAAAAAAAATTCCAAGAAACTGCAGCTTGCTAAGTTAGGCACATCTCAGAAGTCTTTGAAGGAGGAGAGACCTGCAGCCTTGCCTTCAAGTGTTGTGCCCAAGGACACGTACATAGTAATGACAAACCAGGGTTTAAAGGCTTGATTGCTAGTTTCACGCTCTTTCTGTTTCTACTACAATGCAGCACCAGCATATGCAGCTGGTCTAATAGATAGGAATACATCCTTGAGGCTGGAGAAGTGTCTTTGCCAAGTGCTCGCTTATCATGTGCAAGGATCTAGATTCAATTCCTAAAAACACATATAATCTTTCTGTGTTAAACAAGACTGGAACAGGTCCCTTAGTTATTATTTGCCAGGACATTTATAAACAGGAAATTTACACTAGATCTCAACTCAACCCATTTCCAAACTATATCTCCACTTGACACTGTGATTCTACCTGTAGCCAAAATGAGGTAGTATGAATGTATAGGAAATCCTTTACCAATGGACATTAGGGAGATAGTGTTGTCCCCTTTAGTTCGGCACACAGAGGCTGTTGGAAATCCAGCTGCTCTCAGAAACATGATGACATGGTTCTGCACTTCAATCAGGTCTGGAGTTTTGCTAGACTCTGTGTTGCTTATTTTGAGGACATATTCAACTGTGTCATCTGTGATGTCTTCGGTTCTTGAAATGTGAACATGAAAGTTTTGGTCATCATAGCTGGGGAGTGGCTGGATCTTAGAAACTTTGAATCCAAATACTGACTCGACCAGCGCAGAGGCTTGTACCTCAGTAAAAGTAGGCTTGGTGAGAGCCTGTGATTGCTGGCTGTCTCCACTTGACATCATGTCTAGGGGAAAAACAACAGCCAGACATATTACAATGACAGTTATTTGTTTGAGTGATTATTCTCAAGACAGATCACTGTTTCTCTATATTGAGTCTGTGCTTCTTGATTTTTATTTATAAAGTTTAAGCAATGAAATTAGTGAATGAGATCAAGATTCAGATGTTCTGGAGCTAGACAGATGGCTAAGAGTTAAGAGGACTTGTTACTCTGCAGAAGACCTGACTTTGGTCCCAGCACTCACACTGCGTGGCTTACATTCTCCTATAACATCAGTTCCAGCAGGCTCTGACACCCTTTCCTGGACTCTGTAGGCATCTGCAGTCACACAGAGGCATTTAAACATTAAATAATCTTTACAAGAAAAAGAAGTTGATGTTCTGTCAGGGCACAATGGCCCTTGCTGTTATAATCCCAGCACCTAGAAGGTACAACTGGATGGAAAAATGCAGGTCACAAGGACATTTTGTTTTTATCCAATCCAATCTTTCCTCTTGTCTGCTAACCTTACAGGTGCAAGGACATTAAGATGTGTCCAAAACTAATATTAAATTCCATCGAGAACTCAGTTCTAGGGCCTGGGAAGAAGACTCCCTGGGGAGGGCAACCGATATGTGAGCCTGGATCCACAGCGACTATATTAAGACAGGCTGGGCAGCACACACCTGCAACTCCAAGCTGTTGCATTCTTCTATGCTTGTTTTTGGTTTCATGTAGCATAGGCTGGCCCTAAACTCATTACACAGCCTTCAATTTCTGATCCTCCTGCCTCTACCTCCCAAATGCTGAAATTAAATGCTTGACTTATTTAGTGCTGGGGATCAAACTCGGTCTCATGCATGTTAGGCAGGCACTCTACCAAGCGAATCATGTGCTGAAGGAGTTGTGTTTTTTTTCTTTTCTTTCTTTCCTTTTTGTTTGTTTTTTTGAGACAGGGTTTCTCTGTGTAGCCTTAGCTGTCTAGGAACTCACTCTGTAGACCAGGCCGGCCTCAAACTTATAGATCCTCCTGCCTCTGCCTCCTGAGTGCTGGTATTAAAGGTGTGCACCACTACAGCCGAGATAAACTGTTAACAAACACTTCTCATGTTTACCTTCTGACCATAGTATTTGCTTTCAGAAGCAAATTAAGCTCTTCAGGTTTGGTTCACTAAACATATTGTCACAAAGACTAAACAGGGTTTCAAAACAATCTTTGCACCTGAAACTTGTGGAAATGAATGCATCTGTTACACTGCTTTTGCCCTTAAGACTTTACAAGGAATTATAGACATTTCTTCTGAATACAAATAAAATAAGGTCAGTGTTCAGAATGTAATGTGAACTGAAATATTATCTCCAGGGTGAAACCCTCTCCACTCTGAAAGTATTAAAACAATGTTAGGTTTGACAGGAATTTGATAGGGAGCTGGGTGTGGTGGCTCATGTCTATTGTCCCACCAATCCAGAGACAGGGGCAGAAAGATTGCTGCTAGCTGAAGGCCAGTCCTGACTAGTTCTAATCTAAACCCAGTTACTGTGGGAGATTTTGTCTCAGAAAGAGTTCTCTTTTTAAAAAGCAATGTATTTAATTATATTTTATATGCATTAATATGAAAATGTCATATCCCTTGGAACCGGAGTTTCAGACAGTTGTGAGCTCCCATGTGGGTGCTGGGAAATGAACCCAGGTCCTTTGGAAGAACAGACAGTGCTCTTAACCACTGAGCCATCTCTCCAGCCCCAAGAAAAAGTTCTTAAAGTTGAAGTCTGTTAAAGAGAATTAGTGAAGGCCAATCAATCTCCAGAAAATGTTGCCATGTCCTTAAATGGGTCTAGTTCAGCATCTCTTTGCAGAGTCCTGTTTGCTAAAGTAGGGCAAGGTATCTTCAGCATCCTGGCCACAACACAACCTGGTAAGAAACAGGTGCTGAACTTGAAAAAGTTGTTCCAGCACCAGCCAGACAACCAGCCTCTGAAACTTTAGCCATACTGCCTCTAAAGAGTTCAGCAAAGTCGTCCCTAAAGGTCCCTTCTAGCGCCAATATCTAAGCTATTAAAAGTTCTCTTTTGAGCTTATATTTGCTTTTTTTTTTTTCTGTATACACGAAGAATTCCACATCCTGAAAGAAAACACACATTGAAACCTGCTACTGAAAGTAAACACACATAAAGAAAAAATTTTTTTTTATCAGAGGTGTCCATTTTAACCAAACGCGCCTGGTGTTTGGAGAGGATGGAGGGCGAATCCAAATTCTATAGAGGTGCTAGTGTACTTCTTGCCAGCAATATTTAGCTCCTAAAAAAGAACCCGCTCAAACAGAAAGGGCTTCTAACCAGGAGGTTGGCACTGGACTCCATAATCTTCTGTCGCACGAGAAAGGAATGTAGAGCAGGTGGACCTTCTACTCTGAACTTTGTGCAAGGCACCCAAGGGAAAAAGAAAGACGCAGAACCCAGTCTTTCCTTTTACCCTCTGCTAAAGTGTTACGAAGTCCAGCGAACTCTACCTTAGCGCTTCTCCCTCGTCGGCCTTCAGAGCGACCCTTCTGCTATGAGCTTCCAAGGTTGGGCAGATGGCAATTGTACTCCTTGCGCTTACTTCGTGAGCCGGCGGTTGCTGCCAATCACAGCTCAAGGCTGCAGGGTCTCGCTGCGGAGCGAGGGACAGCGGAGGAGGGTGGTGGCCCACAGCCGGGCTCCCGGCCTTGTGTCCGTTATGTCAGGGGAGCCTTTGGGATCGCTTCCACCCCGCGGCCGGGCCGGCGGAGGGTGGGACCTCGGGTTTGCGCTCTGCGATTCAGCGCGGCTGGGGCTGGACAGGGACCAGCCCGTCAGCGCGCTGCGCGTGTGAGGAGCGCTAGGGTCGCCGCCCCGTCTCGGGGACGTACCTCAGGGGAAGCCCGGTCTCGCCTCGGCCTCCCCCCTTACTGTCAGCCGTCGCGACCCGAAGCACAGCCGCTCTTCTCAGCCGGCCCGCAGCCGCGGTGCAGGAGGTGGGCCCGGCCCGCCGCCCGGAGCCCCGCCCTCCCATTGGCCCCTCCCGCAGCGCGCCGCCCAATCAGCGCACAGTGCTGACAGCCCTGGCCCAGCCCTTTCCCGCCCGCAAAGAGTTGAGACGCGGCTTCAGATTGGCTGTCTGCAACCGGACAACCCCGTCAGTCTCCGAGCGCGGCTTGTTTCTGCTTGGTCCTCCAGTAGGCTTTGGGCGTTTGGCCGGCGCCTGTCAATTCTGACCCGGTCGGCGTAGGCCTGGGGTGAAGGACCGCACTTTTACACCGAGAGACCGCTGGCAGCTGGGTTGGAACCCTTATTTAGGTAGTTCAGTTAAGGAGAAAGTGCTCAAGAGTTTGCCTGGGACAAGGATGCTGGACGCTCCAAAGTTTCAGAGACACTGGGTGGATGTCCTTTTCTGGCTAAGCAGGGCTTCTCTGATTGGCCCGCACTCTGTCGAGTACACCTATCACCCAGGTTTGCAATTTGGGCTCATAATTGTATGCACATCTCATTTGCCTTTTTCCTGTCTTGGCACACCCATGGGCGCAATAATTACCCAGGAATTACCCAGTTATTTGCAGAGGGATTTTAATCCAGCAATATGGCTACTCTGGCTAGAATACAGACTAATTAAACACCTTTAATCACAAACAATGAAGGTAAAGTTAGTCCGTAAAAAGAAGCAACTATGTTTGAAAGTGATTCTTTTTTGTTTTTCGAAACAGTTTCTCTGTGTACCCTCGGTTGTCCTGGAGCTCGCTTTGTAGAGCAAGCTGGCCTCCACAAAAATCTGCCTCCCAAACGCTCAGATTAAAGGTGTGTGCCGCCACCACCTGGCTATACATATATATAGCCTCGAAGATGACAATTAGGTGAACAAAGGAAACTCTGAGTTACTAACTTGGATGTTTTTTCAATTCCCATCCATAATGAGACATTTCTCTTCCCTCTTTAGGCAAGGTTTTTATCTTTTTCCTTTTTTTGAGACAGTTTCTGTTTCTCTATAGTCTTGGGTGTGCTGGAACTCATTCTGTAGACCAGGCAGGTCTCGAACTGCCTCTGCCTCCAGAGTGCTCCGCATAGCATGTTTTGTTTTCTAATCTTCAAGTTGCAAGGGTGTCTTTGTGCACTTTAGGATGTCAATGACTTTGACCTGGATTTCCTGTAACCAGAAATAAAAACTGTTTCCTTTTTAAGGCCTGTCTACAATATATGAATTCTCCAAACCTCTCACTATTCTGAACATCACAGAACGTATTTGATGAGAAATTTCTGGGTAACATTTAATTTCTTTTTAGGTTATGCTTTATTCTGAGTTAATACAAAATACAACATGGGTCAAATGTGATAATACAATTTTCTTTATTAAAAATAATTTACAGCATCAATAACATATACACAATTTTATAACTGAACTTTACCTCCAATATATTTCTATACAATACTTAACATTATTGAACAAAACTGTTATGCTATTTTGTTGGCTTTAAATAACAATGATTTGTAGTTACTTAGGAGATATATATGGTTTTATAGTCACATATGATGCATAAAATAAAATTGATAAACAAAAAACCACATCAGCACAGTCACCTTGAAGGGGGAAAAAACAGAAACAAACAAACAAAAAATGGAAAAAAGCCAAAGTCCATTTGCTTTCCCCTTCCTCCAAATCAAACATAGTATCATTATCCAGTATCTTAGTATCTTCTCCCTAAAGTCACAGGCAAAAGGGGTTTTTCAACCCCTGACAAAAGTCAAAACTTGTCCTGTCACATACCACTGAGAAGAGGAATGCACACCAAACTGTTGTGTTACTGTATCAGCAAATAACCGACTCTTTTTTAGTACAATCCCAGTGAAACACCAGTCTGGTGGAGATGCTGCCGCCTTCCATCTGAGTGCTAACACAGAGACAGAGGTACCTGCCATCTTGAGAACCTTACAGGACTAACAGCAGCAGTTCAGAGGCTGAACCTTCCTCTCCTCCATTTGTATAAGCAGCACAACTAAGGCACACAACAGCATGGCGCACACCATTCTTAACAGACTAACATGTTGCTGTTGGTAACTGTGCTACATTTACAACACTGATTTGCTTTTTTTTTTTTTTTCGTGTGTGTTCACTTTCTTTTCCCAAATATTGGTAATTTTTAGAAAATAACACAAAATACAAAAAAAAAAATAGTGAATAAAGAAAGTGAGTAACATAATAAAACCAGGTGCCACATTTCTGCATCATTTGGCTGGAGGCAGAGTCTATAGGCACTGGGACAGGTGCTTAATTCCCCTCCCCCCTTAAAACCACGCTTACCGAGAGTTTAGTTCACTGTTTCTAGGTGAGGGATTAAGAGAACCTTGATTATGTTCCTGAAATATACTTTTTATGCCTTACTGGACTGGAAATGTTAATGTCTGGTTCATAGCTGGGTTTATCATCTCTCAGACATTTATGTCCACACCTTTAGCTCAGACTACAGAGTATGCCTTCAAAATAAAAGCGTTTTCCCCCCCATATATACAATCTGGAATTACCATTTCTTTAAAGCATGTACCAGTATTTTAATACTCTACTTGTAACATCTCCATTCCTGACTCAGGTTTCCACACAGATTAACACACATGCAGTCAGATACAAGGCACCTACCAGAACACAACAGGACTTCTTCAAAGTAGCAAAGAAAACATTTAGTAAAGACTTTGTTTTGTCAAACTCTAGTCCAACTAAGTAAATATTTTGAAAAATATTTTCAAAAGACCGTACAACTGACGGTGAACAGTTCTCAGTGCTCTTTACCCACGGGTTCGGTAGTTCCTGAATTTTAGCATAAAACAAGTCCTTTTTATTGTGCGCAATGCACAAAAACAGATCAAATGAAGAAAACATTTTTTAAAAAATCACTACACTTTACTTTCTGCTGCTAAGTTTAACTTCTTAATTAAAAAGAAGTAGAGGGCTTTCTAAAAATGAATTTCCAACCCTTTTAAAATGTTAAACATGGACAAAGGATGTGACGTGGTGTAAAAGATACAAATGGAAACACATGACCTGCAGACAGCAGTGACAACGAGTGTCACATCTGTCAGTTTTGATTAAAAACAAATCATAATGAAATTAACAAAGTGATGTATCCCAGATAAGATCAAGACTCAAAAAGCAAGAAGTCAACTTAAAAGACTGTAAGAAATAACATTAAAAAAAAAACAACAAAAACAACAACAACAACAACAACAAAAAAAAAAACCTTAGAGGTGCATATCCATATAATTTTGGATGGATAATTTGTAAGTGTAGAGGAAATCTAAAATTTGATTCAAGTTGTTTCCAGCATTCATAAAAGGTGTGTGGAATGTCAGCTGGTGATACCTAATTGAGGTTACAGAAGTGATAGTAAAATTGTGCAAAATCTAGTCCAAATTAATACACCAGCATTTTGGGATTGCCGGAGGGTCATAGTGGCTAATTACTGAAAAATTATAGGACTGTACCATAGGAAATATGTTTTTACTAATACATGGTACCATATTATCAGTTACATTTTGTAGTCATTGACTGGTCAGAGGGACTGTGACCTGGGGCAGCTTTATCCCTTGCAGACACTGAGACTAAAAACAAATGACTTACATTACAAACTGGGAATGCCAACTGTGTCCAACTCAATTCTGGAAAGGAATACACTTAAAAATTTGTTTATAAATCAGGTAGCCATCTCCACAATTTTAGGGTCTAATCTGGATTCTTGTATTTCAACTTGCTATTCTTAAACCAACAAACAGTAGTCCAGTTTTATAGGTGCAAAACAAAAGAAACAGCTTCAGAAAGGCTACTCATATGAATCTCCAACACAAGTTCAAATTCTGTCTTTATTTACAAAAGTTCTCATAAAATATAACCCCATACTTACAGGTCTCTTCCACAACACACTTCACACGTTGATTTTAGCAATGTTAATAGCACCATTCGTATATTATTTAAAATCAAGATTTCATTTCAGTCACTACGTTGATTCATTATCATTTACATCCATGGATAAGTATACTGAAATTATCTGCAGCTCCACGGCAAAAATTCCTGGGTCCAGCACAAAAGGCTTTGCAGTTACCAGTCACGAAAGATACCATAATGAGTAGATACTATGAGAATTTTCGAGCCACAAAGTTTAATAAGCCTCCGTGTTTATACAAAGTTATTTCCACATCATTTTCAAATGATGCAATCACACTGAATTCTTTTCCAGTACTCGTCTTTAAACAAACAAAAAGATGTCGTGTGAGTCAGTGTCAGAGTACTATTTGGTTAAGATCATTTCACATTCAGTAACTGCCTGATTTGCTGCCTCATTTTCCCGATTCTAATTTTGTACATAGTGAATGCCCAAAACCCTTCTGCTATCTGAGAACCTCCCAATGAGCCAAGTAGAAAAACAGAGATTTTGATGTCTAATTCTAAAGAACAACTATCAGACTCTGCAAGTCTACAGCATGACTTAGCTTTTGCTTCCCTTGTCATCACTCATTGTTTACACTTGTATGTGTACGTATCACATACAATATGTAATACTGTCCTTTCTTTTCTTCCCTTAATTATAAAACCTTACTCTTACTCTGAACACTGAACTTTTGCTTCTCTTTGGAACTATTGCCTGGGTCATATTTAGAACAAAACAGAAAGAGCTGAAAACCTGGCACATATAACTGAAGCCTAAATTCTCTGCCAGGCATCTTTTTTCTAGACTTAAGGAAAGTTCCTTCTACTTTTCCTCAGACATGAGCTGTACTAAAAACACACATCAACAGGAAAGCTTACGTGCACTGACATTAGTATGCAAGTAGAAAAACATTTGACTACAGAGTACACGTTACCTTCATATTTAATGTAATTCGAGGAGAAAGTTCTTCAGGAAATGTTAAAGAAAATACTTCTCTTCCGGAGAGACCCAAGGAATCTGCGTTTTCTCCCGGGAGGAACTCAAGTGGTGCTATGCCAATTCCAATCAGATGATCTTTGTGTATTT